ATTTGGAGCGTTAGATAAAACGTAAAAACAGACCGGGGAGTTTAGCTACACAGCCGTCCTCGGCGCCATCTTCCCACACCTACAGTATTCCTTGATCCAATTCAAAAGTTTCCAGACCTGGGACCATTTTCCAGCTTCACTGGACACTGTTCTCCTATTGATACAGCCTAGAATCACATTGACTTTTTTGGCTGTTGACTCATGTTCAGTTCGTAGTCTACTAAAACTCCAAAATCGCTTTCACATAGAATTGTTCTCAAGACAAGCGTCCCCACCTTATATCTGTGCATTTCATTTTTTTCTGCCAAAGAGGAGTTATTGGAGTTATGCCATTGAGTGGACCAATCATATCTGATGGAAACAGGTTTGATTTATTCGATCTGCTGCAAGACCTTCTCCAAAGTTTCTAGATCTCCTGAAGATGTAGGAAAGTGTGGCCAAGAAACAGCCTTGTGCTGAGTCTTTTGGGGGCCGTAGAAACCTTTATTTCTTTCAAGCCTTGAGAAAGGCATTATTGGGGTGGAGGAGGGTGCTTGGAACATGAAGCACAAGTTCAGGAGGATGGGGTTTGGAATATCGAATGTACCTTGGTTGCATGTGATCTGGCCACTGAATCTTGGGTTTGCATGCTCACTTCAGAAAGGAACTGATCAAGGTGCTGAAGGCCAGTCTCCAAGGAGGCTTGATCTCCTCTACCTCGCTTTCTTTTTCCTCCTTTGCTTTGGAACTTGAATGCAATTGGGACAAAACTGCCCATCCCTTTCTGTAAATAAAGAGCCTTAATGCGTAAGGCATATACGCATTAATGCGTAAGGCATATACGCTGTTTAACATCTACATGAAGCCGCTGGGCGAGATCATCCGGAGTTTCGGAGTGAGATGTCATCTGTACGCAGATGATGTCCAGCTCTGTCACTCCTTTCCACCTGCTACTAAGGAGGCTGTCGAGGTCCTGAACCGGTGCTTGGCCGCTGTGACGGTCTGGATGGGGGCGAACAAATTGAAATTGAATCCAGACAAGACAGAGGTACTCCTGGTCAGTCGTAAGACCGAACAGGGTATAGGATTACAGCCTGTGTTGGATGGGGTCGCACTCCCCCTGAAGACACAGGTTCGCAGTTTGGGTGTGATCCTGGACTCATCGCTGAGCCTGGAACCCCAGGTTTCGGCGGTGACCAGGGTAGCATTCGCACAATTAAAACTTGTGCGCCAACTGCGACCGTACCTTGGGAAGTCTGACTTGGCCACGGTAGTCCACGCTCTGGTTACATCCCGCCTTGATTACTGCAACGCTCTCTACGTGGGGTTGCCTTTGAAGACAGCCCGGAAGCTCCAACTAGTCCAACGGGCGGCAGCCATGATACTAACAGGAGCGGGGCGCAGGGAGCACACAACTCCTCTGCTGCACCAGCTCCACTGGCTGCCGATATGCTACCGGGCTCAATTCAAAGTGCTGGCGTTGGCCTTTAAAGCCCTAAACGGTTCTGGCCCAACTTATCTATCCGAACGTATCTCAGCCTATGAGCCCACCAGGACCCTAAGATCTTCTGGGGAGTCCCTGCTCTCTATCCCGCCGGCTTCCCAAGTGCGGCTGGCGGGAACGAGAGACAGGGCCTTTTCTGTGGTGGCCCCTTGGCTTTGGAACACCCTCCCTATAGAGATACGATCAGCCTCTTCGCTGATGGTCTTTCGGAAGAGATTAAAAACATGGTTGTGTAAACAAGCATTCAATTAGTTTGTTACTATTGAATTTATAGACTAAAGGATGGGTAATCATGGACGACGAATTTTGGATTGCGATTTCAGTTACGAGATGCATGGGATTGTTATTGGTGGCCCAATAACTTGTATTGTATATGTGTTTTATGCTTTTAAATTGAATATTGTTTTTTAATTGTTGTAAACCGCAATGAGTCGCCGATTTAGGCTGAGATATTAGCGGTATACAAGTGTATTAAATAAATAAATAAATAAATAAATATTTACTTCAGAAGTGTGCTTCCCTCTGTATATTCAGAAAGACTTTACTTCAGAAGACAGACTTTCCCTCAGAAGTATGTCTCTATTTATATACTTACCTCAGAAGTGGGTCTCTATTTATATACTTACCTCAGAAGTGGGTCTCTATTTATATACTTACCTCAGAAGTGGGTCTCTGCTTGTATATTTACTCTAGAAGTGTGCTTCTCTCTGTATATTCAGGAAGACTTTCCTTCAGAAGAACATCTCTACTTTTAACACACGAATAGAGGCCCACTTCTGAGGTACATGTGCAAAGAGAAGCTCCCTTCTGAGGCAAAGTCCATTCTTAATATGCGAATGGAAGCCCACGCTGACGTTCTCTTCCAGATCCCGGAGGCGATCCGCTTCTGCTGCGACTTCCTGGCCTCCTGGGTGGACGCCGAGAACCTCCTGGAGGCCTACCACCTGGCCGACCACTTCAGCTTGGGCCACCTGGCCGAGCAGCTGGACGCCTTTATCCTCAAGAACTTTGTGGCCTTATCCCGCACCCCCACCTACCGCCGCCTCCCTCTGGAGAAGCTTTACGCTCTCCTGGACAGCAACGTCCTGCAGGTCCGTTCCGAGTACGAGGCCTACGAGGGGGCCCTCCTCTACCACTCCGACCCCCAGCAGCTCGAGGCCGGCGTCCTCTCCTTAACGGTGTCCCCGAAGCTTTTGGAGACCGTCCGCTTCTCGTTAATGGAGGCCCACTTCCTACTTAGACTCTACAATAGCCTCAGACAGTGTCCGTTGAAGGAGATCGTGGCGCAGGCTCTGGCCTACCACGGGAACGAGGCCTTCCAGCCCGTGCTCCAAGGGCCGCGGACGCAGGTCCGGTCGCGCTTCCGCTGCGTGGTGGGCTTCGGCGGGTGGCACGGCACCCCCTCGGCGGCCCTCAGCAGCCAGGGCTGGTTCCTGAACCCGCTCCTGAAGGGCTGGAGGCACCTCACCGTCACCCAGGCGCCCCTGATGTCCAACCAAGGGGTGGCCGTCTACAACGACTTCGTCTACCTCATCGGAGGGGACAACAACGTGCAGGACTTCCGAGCAGAGGCCCGGTGCTGGAGGTGAGCGCCGTGACACGCGTCGCATGGTCAGCGACCTCTGGCGCAAGAGTAGCTCTTCCCCTCTGCTCCACTTTGGCTCCTCAGCATTATTTATTTATTCATTTCGGTCGCTTCTACCCCGCCCTTCTCACCCCGGGGGGGGGGGGGACACGGACGGGACTCAGGGCGGCTTACGAAAGCGAGGCACAATTCGATGCCCGCATCACATATAACAGCAAAGGACAATAACATCAATTAGCAAAAAACACAATCCTAGCAATAACAAACAATTCATAGAATCCTAGAATCAAAGAGTTGGAAGAGACCTCCTGGGCCATCATCCAGTCCACCCCCATTCTGCCAAGAAGCAGGAATATTGCATTCAAAGCACCCCTGACAGATGGCCATCCAGCCTCTGTTTAAAAGCCTCCAAAGAAGGAGCCTCCACCACACTCCGGGGCAGAGAGTTCCACTGCTGAACGGCTCTCACAGTCAGGAAGTTCTTCCTCATGTTCAGATGGAATCTCCTCTCTTGTAGTTTGAAGCCATTAACAGAACAATAGTTATTATAGGCAGAACAACCATAAAACCAATGAAAGCAATAAAACCAATACAAACCTCATGAACAGTCAGCGTTTCACAATCTCATAGTTCCACTTCCGCAATTGTCCTTCCAGTCCTATCCTTTCAGTCCTATCCGGTTATCCATATCAATTGTCAGGTTGCCCAAATGCCTGGTCCCATAACCACGTCTTCACTTTCCTCCTGAAGGAGAGGAGGGATGTTGAAGCCCTAATTTCCCCCAGGAGTGAGTTCCACAGGTGGGGGCCACCACTGAGAAGGCCCTGCTCCTCGTCCCCGCCAGCCTCACTTGTGATAGCGGTGGGGTCGAGAGCAGGGCCCCCCCAGATGATCTCAAATCCCGGGGTGGGACGTAGAGGGAGATCCGTTCGGACAGATACACTGGGCCGGAACCGTAAAGGGTTTTGTAGGTCAAAACCAGCACCTTGAATTGTGCTCGGAATTGAACTGGCAGCCAGTGGAGCTGACACAGCAAGGGAGTGCTGTGCTCCCTGTATGTCGCTCCGGTAAGTTATCTGGCTGCCGCTCGCTGGACCAGTTGGAGTTTCCGAACAGTCTTCAAGGGCAACCCCACGTAGAGTGCATTGCAGTAGTCTAGCATCTTTTCCCCTATCCTCAATTTTTGCAGCCATCATTTTTTTTACTAGTCCCAGTGAGATCCTGTAATCATCATCACCATCTCATAATTTCATTTTACGAGTCCCAGTCGTTGTTGCTGCTCCTAATAATAATAATAATAATAATTATTATTATTATTATTATTATTCTGTCTTGTAATTTTGTCTGATGAGTCCTGGTGGTATTCCTATATGGTCTCATACTACTGCTGTACTCTGTTATTACTGTATTGTTGTATTATACTTCACTGTAATATACTAATAATTATTATGTAATAATACTAATAATATGATTATCTTGTAATTTGGGCTAACGGGCCCCAGTGGAATCCTATATAGTTATGTCATTGTTATATATTTTATTGTAATAATATTTATTTATTATTGTTATCATCAACCTTATCATCAATATATTATATTGGCAGAGCCCAGTTTTGATGCCCTGACTACTCGCAGTGACATCCTCTTGTCATAATATGTATTTATTTGTACCCCGTCCTTTCCACCTCGAAGGAGACTCAGGGTTGGTTGCCAAAAAATGCTGCACAAACATATATTTTTAAAGTTAATATATAGAATAATAGTACCTAATATTTATAGAATGGCTAGCTTGGGGATTCTATGATGCCTGGATTACTTGAGAAAAGCATTGCTTGGTTTGGGAAGTTTGCATATCTCTGTATGCAGGGTGAACTACAACTCCCACGAGGATCGGTCATTCCCCCCTCCCCCCCCCCAAAAAAAACCCCTCCAGTAGGGTCTATGTGCTGGATTTGGTCCAGATCTGACTCTGGATGCATTCATTGCTCTCTGGATGAGGGTGAACTACAACTCCCAGATCCAAGGCCATTCAGCCCCAAATCCTGCGTGTATGCATAGCTAGCCATGTTGGGTCTGTGTACCAAGTTTGGTCCAGATCTGATGTCAGCTGGGTCCAGTGCTTTCTGCATAAGGGTGAACTACAATTCCTGAAATCAAGCTCCATTCTCCCCAAACCCCTGCAGTATGTTTAGTTGGTCACGGGGCTTCTGTGTGCAAAGTGTGGTCCCGGTCCATTATTGGTAGGGGGTTACTGTTTCTCAGGATGCAGGTGAACTACAACTCCCAAAATAAAGGTCCATTCCCACAAACCCCTGCAGTATGTTCTGTTAGTCACGGGGCTTCTCTGGGCCAAGTTTTGTCCTGGTCCATTGTCAGTGGAGGTCACAGTTCCTCTGGATGCAGGTGAACTATAACTCTCATGAAGGTCAATGTCCCCCAAACGTTTCTAGTATGTTCTCTTGGTCACGGGGAGTCAGTGTACCAAATTTGGTCCAGGCTCATCATTTATGAGTGCTGCAGTTGTCTGTGGCAGGCGAATCAGGTGAACGTACTGCATATCCCATCATCCATGGTCCATCCTCCCCAAACAGCACCAGAACGTATAGTGGGGGCGGGGGGGGGGGGGGTCTGTGTGCCAAGTTTGTTCCGGGTCTTTCATTTGTGGGGGTTGTAGTGGTCTCTAGAACTGAGTGAAGGTACTGCAAATCCCAGTACCTTTTGTCATTTGGAGTTGTAGTTGCTGGGATTTATAGTTCACCTAAAATCAACTTCTGCTAATCAACTTCTGTTTGCTGTGTGTCGTGGGAATGGGTAGGAAAGGGTTAAGTGAGGGGCAGTGGGCGGGGTCATGCAAATTTGGAGAGAGAAAGGAACCCTGGGATGCCCATTCTGGAGGAGAAACAGAGCATCTCGGATGAAATGGTCCCCGAATGAAAGCATGGCTTGGGTGGTGGGCAGGACGGAGTGTGGGGCGGACATTGGCAGGGGTGGGCTCCAGGTCCATGGCGCTCGCTAGAACCCGCTTTGTCCTTGGAGGGAGGGCTTTGGGGGGTTCCTCAGCGCTGTGGGTCAAGGCAGAAGGCTGTCTGTGTAAGTGGGATCCTAAAATCAAAGAGCATTCTGAACTCCGCAAACGATAAGAGTTGAACCAAACTTGGCACACAGAGCTCCCATGACAAAATACTGGAAGGGTTTGGTGGACATTGACCTTGAGTTTTGGAGTTGTAGTTCACCTACATCCAAAGAACACTGTGGACTCAAACAATGATGGATCTGGATCAAAATTGGCATGAATGCTCAATAATGTGAACACTAGTGGAGTTTGGGGAAAAGAGACTTGACATTTGGGAGTTGTAGTTGCTGGGATTTATAGTTCACCTACAATCAAAGAGCATTCTGAACCCCACCAATGATAGAATTGGGCAAAACTTCCCACACAGAACCCCCATGAGCAACAAAAATACTGTGTTTTCTGATGGTCTTTGGTGACCCCTCTGACACCCCCTCACGACCCCCCCCAGGGGTCCCGACCCCCAGGTTGAGAAACACTGTTCTAGAGGAATTTTCTCCTTTGTCCCATCCTGGTCATCCCACAGATATATGAAACCATTTTTGTAGTTCCAACAGACCTCACTACCTCTGAGGATGCTTGCCATAGATGCAGGCGAAACGTCAGGAGAAAATGCCTCTAGAACATGGCCATATAGCCCAGAAAAACCTACAACAACCCAGTTATTCCGGCCACGAAAGCCTTCGACAATACATTGAAAAATTAGAATTAATATTTTTTGGAAAATAATATTTTAAAAAGATGAGTCTCGCCCTTTCAGCCATATCTCAGAACGTTCCCTGTTAAAAAGCACGGTCTCCTTTTCCCGGAAGGTACGACCCACGTCACAACCGGTGGTTCCAGATCCAGTCCTTGCAGCAAGAGCACGCCAACATGGCCGTCTGCATCTTGGGGGAGCACATCTATGCCGTGGCCGGGCGCGACTACCACGAAGACCTGCGCCAGGTGGAGCGCTACGACCCCCAGACGAACACCTGGGAGTACGTCACACCTCTCCAGAAGGAGGTAAGGCACCCGGACGGGCACTGCACGCCCGGGACAGGCAGCCTCACCGCGGGCGGCATTTCTGGGGCTGCCACGACACCAAATTGGGAGGGATAGCCAATAGTCCAGAGGACAGGAGCAGAATTCAAAACGATCTTGACAGATTAGAGAGATGAATGGCCAAAACTAACAAAATGAAGTTCAACAGGGACAAATGCAAGATACTCCACTTTGGCAGGAAAAACGAAATGCAAAGAGACAGAATGGGGGACAATGCCTGGCTTGAGAGCAGTACGTGTGAAAAAGATCTTGGAGTCCTCGTGGAGAGGAAGGGGAACATGAGCCAGGAATGTGATGTGGCGGCAAAAAAAGCCAATGGGATTTTGGCCTGCATCAAGAGGAGCATAGTGTCTAGATCAAGTTGTATTAATATATTGTTATTATAATTATATAACAATATAATAAATTATATTATATTATATTACATTATATTGCAGGAGCCTCATTTTCTCATTTTGATAATTGTCAACATGATAACCTTGTAACAATCGTTATCTTCATTATCTTTTAATTTTCGCTAACAAGTGCTTTCCTGTATAGTTATATAAAAACAATGATATTATTATGATTAGATTATATAATAATATATTAATCTTATAATATTACATTATTATATATGGCTATTAAGTGACAAATATTATAGTACTATTTTATTATTAGGTTCAGGTCTAGGGTTAAATATAGATATAGATAAATATAAATGTATATGTTTAAATAAGGATGATAATAATTCCTTGTTTTCTTGTTCTGACTACTTGCCGTGAACCAGAAGCCTTAAAGGAGCCAAACACAAGTAAAAGGTGCAAACAAGGTTTATTAACAAACAAAAATAGCTCAGAAACACTTGAATTCAGTGAGTCTAGCAATAAAACAAAGTCTGTAGCAACTACTAAGCAAAAAACGCAACTTGGAGAATAATCCGGATTATACAGAGATATAATCCGGTATAACAAAAACTTTAAGCAAATTGCTTCAAAAATTCAGAGTTCACAAAACACAAGGTAACAAGGTGGGAGTAAGCAAAAACGTCCAAGGTCGAGGCACGTCCAAAAGTAGAAGTTAAGTCCAAAACGCGATGTCGTCATCTAAAAACAATCCGAAGTCAGCAAGGGGTAGAAGTCGGCATTTACAGGATTCCGGTCGGTAGAAGCACGGAAGATGCACAACGATCTGCAGTCCCAGGACCCAAGACAACAGTCAAGGCAGCAACAAAGTCCCAAGCCCAATACAACACTTTGCCTACTGCAAAGTTCCAATAGTTTGATACCTTTCCTATATCCTATAACTCCTCATCAGAGGTGGAGCTGGACTCCACCATGTCATCATCGCTCTCAGGTGTTTTCGCTTCCACAGCTGCTCGCCACCGCCTGTCCCTCCTGCTCTTCCAGCGTCTATCAAGACTTAGATCATCCCAAGTATTTCCAGGTTGCCAGTCTCCCGAGAACCCCTCAAACTCCTCACTTGAGGTGGGTTGAGTACATATGTCCCTGATCTCTTGTACACGGGTCCAGTCTAGCCCATCCTCCTCTCCATTATCACTCTCAGTCCCATCACTCCCCGTGAACCCCATGAAGTCTTCTTCCTCAGTTGGAGCATTAAGTATTTCACGGATCCGCTTCCTTTCCCTCTCTTCATCTGACTCTTGCTCCCGAGTAACCCGTTTCAAGCCTCTACTCCCATCTCCCTCCTCCTCCATGTCAGCGTCTGTGAAACCTTTGAATGACTCAGTATCTGTAGGTGTCATGAATATCTCCCTAATTCACTTCCTTTGCTACTCTTGTTCCAGCACCTGAGCAGCCCTCTTTCCCCTTCTACTACTACTAGTAGCTTGATCAGCACACTGTATTACAACACTACTATCCCAGTGATATACCGTAATGATAATGATGATGATGATGCCAGAGCCATTTTCTTATTCTGACTGCCACCCCAATGATCTCCTGTAATCATCGTCGTCGTCATCATCATCATCATTGTAAATTTGGCTGACGAGTCCCAGTGCTATCCTATATGGTTGCATAATAATAACAATACTAATAATATACGATGTTTCTTTCTATACTGTGTTATCATTACATGGTTATCTAATAATATATTTATTTATTTACTCATTTTATATCTCACCCTGAAGGGGACTCAGAGCGGCTTACAAGTTATATGTACATACAATGTATTTTATTATTAGCATGTTGTTGTTGTTCATTCGTTCAGTCGTCTCCGACTCTTCGTGACCTCATGGACCAGCCCACGCCAGAGCTCCCTGTCGGCCGTCACCACCCCCAGGGTCTCCTTCAAGGTCAGTCCAGTCACTTCAAGGATGCCATCCATCCATCTTGCCCTTGGTCGGCCCCTCTTCCTTTTGCCTTCCACTTTCCCCAGCATAATTGTCTTCTCTAGGCTTTGCTGTCTCCTCATGATGTGGCCAAAGGACTTCAACTTTGTCTCTAGTCTCCTTCCCTCCAGTGAGCAGTCGGGCTTTATTTCCTGGAGGATGGACTGGTTGGATCTTCTCGCAGTCCAAGGCACTCTCAGAACTTTCCTCCAGCACCACAGCTCAAAAGCATCTCTCTTCCTTCGCTCAGCCTTCCCTAAGGTCCAGCTCTCACATCCGTAGGTGACTACAGGGAAGACCATGGCTTTGACTAGGCAATGGATCTTTGTTGCCAGTCTGATGTCTCTACTCTTCACTATTTTATCGAGACTGGACATTGCTCTCCTCCCAAGAAGGAAGCGTCTTCTGATTTCCTGGCCACAGTCTGCATCTGCAGTCATCTTTGCGCCTAGAAATACAAAGTCTGTCATTATTAGCATAGCAATATTTAGTAATATTAATATACTCTAATATTATTAGTAGTATGACATGTAATATAAAATATATAATAATTATATTGCATTATTAGTGGTGTTATAGTGTATTACATTTTAATATGATTATCAATATTATATGTGTCTACAATATATTAGATGGATGGATGGCATCCTTGAAGTGACTGGACTGACCTTGAAGGAGCTGGGGGTGGTGACGGCAGACAGGGAGCTCTGGCATGGGCTGGTCCATGAGGTCACAAAGAGTTGGAGACGACTGAACGAATGAACAACAAACAATATATTATAATATTAGCACAGCGCAATATTAGTATTATATATTACTATATTATTGCTGGGGGGAGGTTGAAATACATAAATATAATATAAATATATGATTAAATATGTCTTAATAATAATAATAATAATTATTTATTTATTTATTTATTTATTTAATTTGATATACTTGTATACCGCCGTTTCTCAGCCTAGCCGGCGACTCAACGCGGTTTACAACAACTTATAACAAACAACAGTTTACAGTTTAAAAGCATAAAAACACGATCCACAATACATGTATCAATAAACAATCCAATTCATCTCTTGACTAAAATCGCGATCCAGTTTCGTCGTCCAAATTGCCAGTCCTTCAATCATTACACTTATTGCACTGAGTTAACCGAACGCCTGCTCAAACATCCAGGTTTTTAGTCTTTTCCGGAAAACCATCAATGAGGGGGCTGATCTTACCTCTATGGGGAGGGCGTTCCATAGCCGCGGGGCCACCACAGAAAAGGCCCTGTCTCTCGTCCCATAATAATAATAATAATAATAATAATAATAATAATAATAATAATAATAATAATCCAGCATATAGATCTCGTTTGCTGTGGCATACTGTGCTTTTGTGTCAGTAAAATAACAATATTTCCCTGTTTCCACCCCAGTGATATCTGGTAATAATAGTAGTAGTAGTAATGTTATACTATTTCTTTGCTGTGACCGCCCGCAGGTGTATGCGCACGCGGGGGCGGCCTTGGACGGGAAGGTGTACATTGCGTGCGGGAGGCGTGAGGAGGAGTACCTGAAGGAGCTCCAGTGCTACGACCCCAAGACGAACTGCTGGGACCCTCTACCCGACAGCCCCTTCCGGCGCGCATGGCACGGCATGGTGGCCATGCTGGGGAAGCTTTACCTCATTGGCGGAAACAACACCGACTCTGGATTCAGGCAGGATGTCCTTGAGGTCAGCCTCCTCTTCTTGTTCTTGTTGTTGTTGTTGTTGTTGTTGTTATTTATTTATACCCTGCTGTATCACCCCAAAGGGGACGCAAAGCTGCTTGACATAAAAGCGTTAGTACAGAATTTGAACATATACAAAAATTTAAACAGAATTAAACACAAACAGCAGTAAAAAAATTCATTTAAAACCCATCAAAACATATTCAAAGTTGGAAGCCACAGCAGCCCTGACTAGATCGGAAACACCTTCCTCTTTAAAGGACTGGGCGAACTACAATTCCCAGAATCGTGGGTCAATCCTCCCCAAACCAGGCCTGTATACACAATTGGCCATGTTGGATGTGTATGCCAAGCTTGGTCCAGATCTGTTGTCAGCTAGGTTCAGTGCTCTCTGGATAAGGTTAAACTACAACTCCCATATGCCAAGGGGAGTCGCCCCCAAATCCTGCCAGTGTTTACAGTTGGTCATGTTAGGTCTGTGTGCCAAGTGTGGTCAAGATCCGTCATCAGCTGGGTTGAGTGCTTTTGGGATGCAGGTAAACTACAACTTCCAAAATCAAGATCATTTTCCTCAAACCCCTGCAGTATGTCCAGTTGGTCCTGCAAATTCCACACAAGGAACCCTGAGATGCCTGAAATCTAGGGTGAAATGTTCCCCTAATGAAAGCATTCCTTGGGTGGTGGGCCGTAGTGTTTGGGGAGGACATTAGCAGGGGTTGGACTACATGTTCCACGGTGGTCACGATGACCTGCAGTGTCAGTGGAGGGAGGGCCTTTGGGGGCTTCTCCGCACTTGGAACTACAGCCTGTTTGTGGAGGCCGGAGGCTGTCTGCGCAAGTGGATCCCTCTGCCACATACGCATACACGCATTTGTCACTTTCATTGTGTGGATGTAGAATATAGATATAGATAGATAGATCATTATCCTCTTGCAAAACAATGGCTGCCAGAAAAAGAATTGCCATTGGATTATAGTGGTTTTGTTGTGGTCATTGTAGGTGTCCTGCTACTCCCCGAATTCAGCGCAATGGACGACAGTCTCCCCGCTCAGGTTCGGACACAGCAAACCGGGCATTGCGACCCTCGACCGCCGCATCTACGTCTTGGGGGGCCAGTCCTTCAACCACGGGCGCCTCTCGGCCGCCGTCCACATCTACGACGCGCTCCAGGACCGGTGGGAAGACGGCCCCTCCCTGGAGAACGACGTGTCTGGGATCGCGGCCTGCACCCTCACCCTGCCCCAGGCGGTGGTCCTCGATGTCCAGCGGTGGTCGCCAGACAGATGGTGGCGCGAGGGCGGAGGGGACCTCTTTTCCTGAGGGCGGGAGCGTCTTGGACAATGTCAAGGAACTGCGATGGGTACCTGGTGGGATTCTTGGGTTGTGCCTTCCTCTTCGTGGCCCTCCTTCTCCTATCGGGAAAACAGCATGGCAAAACTTAGCTGATACTTCCTTGTTGTTTACCTGTGATCCTCTCCTATTATGTCAACAAGGAGGATTGGGGGGGGGGGGAAGGGGGGATCCGTCCTCTTCGTGGTCCTCCTTCTTTTGGGAAAATGGCATGTCAGAACTTGACGTCTCATTCCTCCGATCCGAAAATGGCATTTTGACGGCTACATCTTTGTTGTCGAAGCATTCTCTGCATATTTGTAATGCCACTTTGGATTTCAGACCACAGAATTTTGAGGAACCGATTGCCAATTTGTGGGACGCGCGGTAACGGACTGTTTTTAATGAGGAGAAGCAAACAATAAAGAGCTTTTTTAAACAAGGAGCAATAATTAAAATATTATAGGACAGGCGAGGGCCAACCCTATTCTGACTTACAAAACCTATCTTGCTCGTAACTTGGGAACTGCCTGTATTTGTATTTCCTGAGGTCAGCTGCCTCTATACACGTTTTCTAAGTTAAAGAAATGCTTCCGTTAGCTTTTTCTGAGGCAAGAGAAACTTATTCTGAGGTAAAAATGGCTGCTATTCACATTTCCTGAGGTACATTTTGCTTCCCTCAGCCTCTTCTGAGGCAAAATAATCATTTTCTGAGGGAAAGGGTGCCCCATCCACGTTTCCTGAGGTAAATTGTGCCTCCCTTGGACTTGCCTGAGGTGGACCCAGCCTTTGCTGAGGTGAAACCTTCCTCCAATGGGGAGGGGTCCCAACCACAACCTCCTCCTCGACCTCTTGGGCCGCTCACTGGGTTGCTGTGGTGGGTGCATGTGGACGTTCTCCTGCAGGGCCTCCTCCACTGGCCCCTCTCCGCCTCGGAGAACACCTGTGCCTCCTGGTGAACACCTGTGCCTCCCGCTGCATCAGGCACTCTGTCTTGATGGAGAAGGACCAAGGCTCTTAAGTCTGGGCCTGTCCTACCTGGCAGTGTTGTCGTACTGATGGAGAAGGACCAAGGCTCCTAATTCTGGATCTGGCCTACCTGGCAGGCCCTTCCCCCCAAATACACTTGGCTCTGGGCTGCTCGAGAAGGTCTGTGGGCAGGGCAAGTGCAGCAGCTTTTGGGACACTCTCCCGGGACCATCTTAAGGGATGGAATCTAGCCCCCTTCTGCATTAAAGGAGGACCCCTCCTCCTCTTCCAAGGCCTCGATTCCACCGTTCATACTCTGCTGCTGCCCCACATTTCCAGCAGCCTTTAAAGTGTCTCTGTTTCTCTTGTCTCCCAGTCCTCCCATCACTATTGGCTTCCTTCCTTTATGGGAATTGTGGTCCAAAATACTAGCGTTTCCATTTCATGGGAGACACAAGGGTTGCTGTTGTTGATGGTCTTCAGGGTCCCTTCTGACACACGGCATGGCAACCCTCAGGTGGACCTCTCTTGGGGTTTTCTCAGCAAGGATGTTTCTGAGTGGGTGGCCCTTGCCTACCTCTGAGGTTGAGGGGAAGTGACCCTTGGTGGGCCCCAGTGGCTAAAGGATGGGGGTTCAGAGCCCGGGTTTCCCATGGCCCATCCCTGGCTCTCTTTCTGTCAATCTCAGGAAGGTCTAGCCTGAAGGACTCCCATCCAGGTCCTCACCAGGGCTGGCCCTGCTCCACTTCTGGCTGGAAGGGCCTCTCTCAGGAGGGACTGCGTCCTGCAAGGCTGCTTGCATGGCTTTCTCTCTCCCCTTCCACACCCCATTATTTCTTTATTGGCAGTTTCCAAGGTAGAGAGACCAGAGGGGCATCTCGTGGACAGTGACCACCACAGAGCAGAAGGACCTCAAGGGGACAATGGCAACAACAGACTAGAAGGACTTCTAGAGGTCAATGAGAGGGACAGACCAGAGGGGTCTCTAGTGGACAACGACAATGAGACCAGGGGGGCCTCCATCTGCAGATGAGGGGAGCCACCTCTCTGCTCCTTTATCCATTGTAAGAGAATGGGGAGACGTGGCCACCAGAAGACACCATCCAAGCCTCCACTTCAGGGTGGGGGCTATCATGACACAGACGACCCCCAAATTTATTTCTCCATGCTTTCAGAAACTGCTTCAGTTAAAGGTAGTGTGTCTCCTCTGAATGAATGTCGGAAGGAAGGAAGGAAGGAAGGAAGGAAGGGGCTGCCAGAGGAAGGACACAGTGAAACTGAATCCAGGGAAGACGTGAGATTGCCCTCAACCCTGAAGGAGATGGAGGTGCCACCTTGGAAAATGCATACAAACACAACCAGGGGGGTCCTCTCCTCTAAAAGACTGTGTCCTTCAGGGATGACTGGTTTTGCAGCTTGGGACAAGGCCTCTGGGACCATCCTTCCAAAGGTCAGTCCAGGGAACTGGACAACAGTCAGGACAGCATACTCCTAACTTTGGACAATGTGCCAGATGCGGCCCTCACTTCCTAGAACTGGAGGAGCTAAAGATGGTAGTGCATGTGCTGCTCACCTCCATGCTGGAGGTCTTCAATGTGCTATACATTGGGCTCCATCTGTACCAAATTCAGAAACTCCCAATGGGTTCAAAACATGGCAGCCAGGCTAGTCCCAGGATTATCCAGGAGTGAGCATATCCCTCCCCCCCAAATTAAACTCACTCCATCGGGTGCCAATTCGTTTTTGGACAAAGTACAAAGTATTTGGGTTGTTGTAGGTTTTTTTGGGCGATATGGCCATGGTCTAGAGGCATTCTCTCCTGATGTTTCGCCTGTATCTATGGCAAGCATCCTCGGAGGTAGTGAGGATGCACTACCTCTGAGGATGCTTGCCATAGATGCAGGCGAAACGTCAGGAGAGAATGCCTCTAGACCACGGCCATATCGCCTGAAAAAACCTACAACAACCCAGTGATTCCAGCCATGAAAGCCTTCGACATTACAAACTATTTGTTTGGACCTCTAAAGCTCTGTGTGGTTTGGCTCCAGGTTCCCTCCAGGAAGGCCTTCTCCTGCACCATCCAGGGCCCTTTGGACACAGAGGTCTTCTGTGGGGTGGCTGCTCCAGGCATAGACAGAACCGACTGGCGACTGTCAACCAGAGGACCCCTTTCCATCAGCCCCCAAAGAAGTCTGTGGGATGAATGGTCTGCCGAAGGAAGAGATCCCACCGCAGCTACATCAGCTGTCAGACTTTAAGATGCAACTGGAGACGCATTTCTTCTGGCAGGAGACCAACCCAGTTTGAAGTCGTGATTTTGTATCTGCACCTCATCCGTGTGCATTTCATCACTGTATTCGAACTGTGTGCATCTTGTATGTATTGTAATAGTTTTATCTCATTTGTAGGGATATAAAGATGCTTATTTATTGTCCTCCCAGCCTTGTTTTGGACCACTGCACCTCAGGTGGAAGGAGGCCCAAGGGCTGCCCTGTCTCTGCAAGGCCTGGGCCAGGGTGAGGGGCCAAGGGGACCGGGAGGCCGGTCCCAAGAAGGCAAGGGAGCAGCAGGAGATCGAGGATCAAAGAGAAACCCGACAGATTCAAAATTCAGAAGGTAGGACTGTTTAATTTTAGGTCTTGCAGCATGTCTGCACTTGAAAGCATACCGTTTTGATATAAGCACAGCATACCTGAAGAATAATAATAACAACAACTTTATTGTTGTACCCCACCTCCATCTCCCCAAAGGGACTCGGGGTGGCTCACATATGGCACAATAGGCCTAAAACAATGCATAAAATAAACACACAATATAATACAGAGAAAACCAATAGCATATAAAACAAAGTTTAAGCGCAAAATAGCGGCCATTAACCTACAAGGGGCGTTCATCAAAGATTTCCCTTGAGGACCCACTTCCTGTGGACTGAGAGCAATGAAACTTGGCCCAGTCCTGAGTCCTTCTCTCCACTGGTGTCATCTCAGGACACACACTTCGCCCACCTTTTTAAGCAACTGTGAACACCTCACTTGTAGAAGTGAGCAGGCTGCTCCACAAGCCACGTTGTGCCTTCAGAAATCAGAGTCTCATCATCTGAAAAATGTTTGCCCTTCAAAAATAACTTCCTTGTTGGAAAGAGGTGGAAGTCCGATGGTGCGAAGTGGGGTGAATAAAAGGGGGATGCGGTAGAATTTCAAAGCCATAGCAGCATGCTTCTTCCATTTGGGCAACAGGCAAGTTGTGAACTGGTGCACTGACTTGCAGAAGGTGGACAACTTTGGTGAGCATGCTACATTGTCTCACAGTTTGAATAGCCTCCCGCAATTTCCACACCAGCGATGCATAGTATGCCCCAGTGATCATGGTCCCCTTTGCTAGGAAATCCACCCATACTACTCCATGCTGGACCCAACTCTCGGCATGACCTTGCCTGCTGAGAGTTGGGCACGTGCCTTCTTTGGAGGCAGTGAGTCAGGATGCTTCCATGGCATCGACTGGACTTTCATCTCAGGATCTGAGTGATGAACCCAGATTTCATCCTGTTCGATAGTCTGTTGAAAAAGTCCTCCTGGTTTCCATGACACATCATTTCCCCTGGAATTGGAGCTGTTTTCACTGAAATCTGACCACATTGGAATGTACGATGCCAGTTCTTGACTCCATCATATGATGGGGAATCATCACCATAAACCTCTTTCATCTCATGTGTACAGAAGTTGATTGTAAATGATATGATTATAAACTGTATTGAATGTAAATGATATTATTATAACTGTATTTGTGTTTACACTGGTTGCCCTAATGCTGGAGCGGCCTAGCTGTGAGGAGTGTGTTACCATGGAAACAATGCTGTAGAGAAGTGGGAGGAGCTTAGAGAGGGGAGTTTTGAAAAGCGACAGTTAAAAGTTAGTTAGGTTTTATGCTCAGAGGAGTGAAGAGTCATGAAGAGTTAGGGTTTAGGCTCAGAAGAGTGCACAGTCATGAAGAGTCAGGGTTGAGGCTCAGAGGAATGAAGAGTTAGGTTTAGGCTCAGGGAAGTGAAGAGTTGAGAGAGAGAGAGAGTGGGAAGTAGAGAAGCAGTGTTTGTGAATAGTCGGAGGTTTCTTCAGTTCGGGAAAGCTGAAGGGGAAACCTTATTAGTTTTATTAGTTAGAGAAGACTAATAGAAGCTAGTTTAGATCACTAGTTAAGAGTGAACTAGAGATCTGAGGTTTGATCACGGAAGGGTCAAACAGGAAGACTATTCACCTCAGGAACCATTGTTTAATAAAGTGCTTCACCACAGCAAAGGTTATTTATAAGTTGTAACATCAGAAGACTGAACTGTATCGCAACCAAGTTATATGTAACGTTCTCCAAGTATTTTCCAAGTTTATCACCAAACTGCAACCATACGCTTTGTTTCAAAATAAACTTGTTCTCTTTGATTGTAAAACTGCCTCATCTCCATTAATTCTGCGTTTAGTGTGCCCAATCTCCCAAAATTACCTCACGTCACCGAATTGGTGGCACCATTAAGGATAATAAATAATAAATTGTAACTTCTCTCTCCTGAGACCTCCCTTACCGAATTTGGGGCCCGAGCTCTTTCGCATCATGGAACCTGTGCGGCCTTTTGAGTAAAGGAACTTGATGACTGCTCTGTATTCCACTGGGTCCATTATCAAACCTCACACCACTTCAACACCTGTGGTAAAATCAAGACCGTTATCGGTTTTGAGTTGGAAATTGGAACGTAACCTACAGAGACTTATATCATTACAAATGTGCAGTTTCAGTGTTCTGTGATAAATAGAAGTGGGTCAGGGGAAATCTTTAATGAACGCCCCTCGTATGATGAGAAGGATAACCTGAAGGAGGACATCTATATAACACCTCCACCAGGTTCTGAATGCAGGGATACTAAGATGTTTTGCAAGTTAAACAAGGCACTCTATGGTCTAAAACAATCTGGAATCGCCTGGAATGATTGTTTGTGTGATGCTCTGGCCAAAATGGGGTTTGTGAAAAGACGGGCAGGCCCATGTGTGTATACCAGAAGTATACAACATGTCTATCAAATACTTATTGTTTATGTAGATGATGTGTGTTTTTCAGCTGAACCCAAATCACAAATCGATCAGTTTGCAGAAGAACTGGGCAAGCATTTTAAACTATGAAATTTCGGTCCAATACAATTTTCCTTGGATTTGCATATCATTAAAAAATCAACAAGGAGGGTTTATATTGAGCCAAAAAGAAAAGATACTGCAAGTACTGGAGAAACTAAACTTGAAAGATTGTAAATGAGTTCAATTGCCTCTGATCTTATGTTTTACGAATGAAGTGGAGAACTCTGAACCATTAAAAAAAAACCTTGTAGAAAAGCATTATTGGTCAGTTGTCATACATAAGCAATTACACACGAGCAGACAGAGCATTTGCTATAAACTTTCTGAGCAGGTACGCAACCCACCCACCCACTGCTGCGTGGAATGGGCATAAAAGAATGGCAAGATAATTAAACTCAAAATTTTGGTTTAGACTTAAATCCAGATGACTCATTGGATTTACAAGTATTTGCAGACAGTGATTTCGGGAACAGCTCTGATAGGAAATCAATGACTGGAGCTCTAAAGAAGTTTTCTAACACAGTCATAGACTGGAGATCGAAAAAGTAAGGGTTTGTTGCTTTAAGTTCCAGTGAAGCTGAATTTGGAGCACAAAGCTTTGCATATACTGAAATCTGTGATAAAACAGCTATTGAAAGACCCGCAGAGTCCTGTCGAAGATCCCACAACAATTTATGAAGATAACCAAACATGTATATTAATAGCAACACAAGCCAGGGTAAAACAAAGAAGTAAACACGCAGATATAAAACACAGTGTAAGAGATGCGGTAAAGAATGGTGAAATTAATTTAATGTACTGTAACACATCTCTGAATCTGGCAGATATATTAACAAAACCATCAAGTGCCCAGCAGCACAAAGCGGTCCCAAATAACTTAGGAATATTTGAATGCACCATGCAACAAGGATTTTTTCCCCTTCTTAACACAGGGAGAGGTATTAAGATGTTTAAGTTCTTGTGGGATCACTACCGGGTGTGTGTTAAGAGAAAAAGACTCACCCTGGTTAATTACAACCCACAGGCTGAGTAACTGGAGTAATTAAGGTCATCAAGTTTTGGCCACCCTAAAGAGATCTAACTGGGGAGTGTTTGTTGTATGCCTCTGAGCTTACTGAATGTTTGCTCCTGGGCTATCTCGGTGTAAGCTCCTGGCTTACAGCCTATTGTGACGCTGGCAAGTTTGTCTTCCATGCTCGTCTCCATGAACCAGAAATGAAGACTAGAAAAAGATACATTTTCTGATGGGAAGCACAGCATGAATCAAATGAAAAGACTATACGTGAGTCTGATGCAGCAAAGGAACTGTGACTGTATTACCGGAAAGTTTGTGTTGAAGTCTTTTTTCATGAACTCTGCTGCATAAATTTGAGTTTTGCATTTCTTCTACTTGTGTGGCTCATTTTTGAAGATACAAAGGGCTAATCTTCAGCCGGTCTGCACGCATCAAACCATAACAGATCTGAACTCTCAGGGAAGCTATCTTCACACGCCATGTTTTCATAGGGTTGTACCCCAGCGTGAGTCCTTTGGTGTCTGTGTAGACTTCCATTCTGAGTGAAGCTCTGTCCACACTCCGGGCAATTATAGGGTTTCTCCCCAGTGTGCGTAATTTCATGTTTATGTAGACTTGAACTCTGGGTGAAGCTCTGTCCACACTCCAGGCATTTATAGGGCTTCTCCCCAGTGTGAGTCCTTTGATGCGAATGCAGACCTGAACTATGAGTGAAGCTCTGCCCACACTCCGAGCATTTATAGGATTTCTCCCCAGTGTGCGTCCTCTGATGTGAACGAAGACTTGAACTATGAGTGAAGCGCTGCCCACATTCTAGGCATGTATAGGGCTTCTCCCCAGTGTGGGTCCTTTCATGTGAACGTAGATCGGCACTTTGAACAAAGCTCTTTCCACACTCCAGGCATTTATAGGGTTTCTCCCCAGTATGAATCCTTTTATGTAAATGTAGACCTCCACTGTCAGTGAAGCTCTTTCCACACTCTGGGCATTTATAAGGTTTCTCTCCAGTGTGAATCCTTTGATGTGAACGTAAACCTGAACGATGAGTGAAGCTCTGCCCACACTCCGAGCATATATAGGGCTTCTCCCCACTGTGGGTCCTTTGATGTGAACGCAGACCTGAAATATGAGTGAAGCTATGTCCACACTCCAAGCATGTATAGGGTTTCTCCCCAGTGTGAATCCTTTCATGGGAACGTAGATCTCTTCTCTGAGCAAAGCTCTTTTTACACTCCTGGCATGTATAGGGCTTCTCCCCAGTGTGCGTCCTTTCATGTGTGCGTAATGTCGAACTTTGAGCGAAGCTCTGCCCACACTCCAGGCATCTATAGGGTTTCTCCCCTGTATGGGTCCTTTGATGTGTATGTAAACCCGAAAGATGAGTGAAGGTCTTTCCACACTCTGAGCATTCATGGAGCATCTTTGCAGCGGGAGGCCTTTCCTGTTGCTGCAGAGGATCCTTCTGAGTGAAACTCTCTCCAAACTCTAGACATTTAGATGCTTCCTCCATGTCAACAGTGATGTGGGTGTTTAATTGAAACACAGATATGTGACTCTATCTTCCTTTCTTGTCTGTAAGTGAGCTCATCAACTTGAGAGCATTTCTTCTTCCTATATTATTGTTTTCCTTATTGCATCCAGGACGTGGTGCCACGGAGTCCTCATTTCCCTGGTCAAGAAAAAAGCAGAAGATCACAGTTACTATTTCATTGTGTTTTAACTTTTGTATTGCATTTGTCTAGTGTGGATTGTTGGCCGCCTTGAGTCCTCACGGGGAGAAAGGTGGAGTATAAACAAAGGTAATAATAATAACAATAAGAATAATAATGACAGATTTCCCCCTTTTCCCTTCATGGGTCATGTTGAAAATGGAAATATCAATAAATTCAGATACCAGGGTCTCGAGCACATACATATGTGATGAAGTGTAAATTTTTATCTACAGTTATGTATTGTTATAGATAAGTGTTTGTAAGGGTAAGTATATAGTATTGCATAATATTGGGGGATGGTAGCCAGCTTAGCTCGCTTTGAGCTGAGTTGCTATGGAGATAGGGGCGGAGCCAACTGCCACTTGGCAGAGCAGCCATTTTAAAGCAGTTAGTCTGTGGTCGGTGAACTGCAGAGGTGGCTGGTTCTGTTGTGTGTGGAGAACCAGTGAGGATTCTGTAGTCAAAGAACTACAGGGGAAGGCCGATTCTTTGGTATTAAGAATCGGGAAGGTTTTGGCTTTGAGCCAATGTAATTTAGATAAGTCGAGTGACTTATTTATATTAAAAGTAACGGTTGTGGAAAAAGAGGGAAAGCCCTAATAAGCATCTTTATTGTAACAGAACCATCATACAGAAAGGATAAGTGTGTGCCTGAAACAATCTGTTAAAGAAAGAAACATCTTTTTAAAGGAACTAAGTTTGAGACCTGTTTGTTAGAAGAATTAGACCTCCTAAGAGTTATTTATGAATTGTTATGAATGTAACCTTTGAAGATCTGTATCTCTAAGAGAAAGGAAACTTTGAAACCATCAAGCTTCTGTACTTCAATAAACTTGTTACAGTTTCTTTTTAAAGTCAAGCCTATGTTACCATTCTTTTTCAAGTCAAGTCATGCTACATACTGAAGAAAGACTAAATGCATATTACAAGCTATTGGTTGTGTTATCAATTTAATAAGTCCTCACAAAGAGGTGGCTTCTTTTACAAACTCTCTACATATTGGTAGCAGTTATATTTATACATCCTTACAATTTGGTGGCATCATTGCAAATTAGTGGCCAAGTCTTTACAATTAGTAGCAGTAATATACGAGCTCCTTCACACATAGATGCCAGCAAAGGCAGTAACTGCTTCTTTAAACATGAATGAATATAGAAAAAAATTTAAAAGGGAGAGAGGGAGAAAAAAATGAACAATGTATTGTCGAAGGCTTTCATGGCTGGAATCACTAGGTTCTTGTAGGTTTTTTCGGGCTATAGGGCCATGTTCTAGAGGCATTTCTCCCGACGTTTCACCTGAGGATGCTTGCCATAGATGCAGGCGAAACGTCAGGAGAAATGCCTCTAGAACATGGCCCTATAGCCCGAAAAAACCTACAAGAACCTAAAGAAAGAACAATCCAAGGAGGAAAGGGAAATCCTTCCAATATTGGAGCATTACATTGATTTGATTGCGTTGAGCACAACTGTGGCTAAAGGAGCGGAAGGGAGGTAGGCAGAAAGGAATGGTTTTTTCCAATATTAAAGGGCGGCATTCACTGGATAATGGGTTTCCCAGAATTACCAAGAGGCAATTTTTAAATACATTACAATTATATTTTATTTATTTATTTGGGGCTTTTATATCTCGTCCTTTCTCAACCTCCGCAGAGGGACTCAGGACGGCTAACAAAGTGGCACCCCATGGCGCCCACATCAAAACATAAATATACAATTAACAGCAATGTAATAACAACATCAATATAAAATTGTATAAACAATACAAAAACAGACAACAAATAGTCAGTGGTCACCGATTTAAATCATTATCCAAGGGCAGTCCATCAGTTCTAAATAAGTCAACACATCAGTAGGTCAGCCTATTCTCCAAAGGCCTGATCCCACAGCCAGGATTTTACTTGTTTCCGGAAGGTCAAGAGGGATGCAGCAGATCTAATTTCCCTCAGGAGGGAGTTCCACAGCCGGGGGGCCACCACAAAAAAGGCCCTGTCCCTTATCCCTGCCAGACACGATTGTGACAATGGGGGGGGGGGGGACAATGAGCAGGGTCTCCTCAGATGATCTTAGGGAACCCTTGGTTCACGCGTGAAATGATAAATAAAACCACACGGTGTGAAATGCTGAGGGACACAACGATTACTGGGCTGCCTCCCATCCCACAATGGGTCCCAGGTTTGCTTCCTGAGCATCCCAAATTAAACGCCTGCTGGCACCAAATTTCCAAAGGAATCCTGCCACAAATCAAGACCCTGCCTCCCCACCCATCTAATTCAAAACTACAGTGAGGCTCTTTGGGATGTTCACATAATGAGTCTCTGCTGAACGGAGTTTCCTTTGGACCATTCACTCCCCGGACTGAGCCCCAGGATAGGATGCCAAGACAAGCGCAGTTCCGTCCACAAGGCCCTTTTCCCCTGCCAACCTCTTTTGCCTTTGTCCACTTCCCCTGTTCCTTCCAACTCTAGCATCCTATGCATGGGCAAAGGGGGAAGCAGATAATCCAGCCTTCCCTGTGCATTAAACAAAACATGGGCCTACAAGCCTGGCCTCTTAAAAGATGTCAAAAGAGAAGGATGTCGGGATAAAGGTGTCCCCTGGGTGCCTTTTGGAACTCTTTCAAGTGATCTCTAAAAGATCCCAAATGTTCTCTGCTTCTGAAAAGCTGTCCAGACCTGGGGCACATCTTCACTGTGGAATGAATGCAGACTCACTCCACCGCAACTGCCATGGCTTAATGCTCTGGTATGTCTAGGAGTTGTGTTTCAAAGAAGGGAAGGCTAAAGATCTTGTGAAACCACAAATCCCATGATTTCCAGAGCACTGGCCCATGGAACTTAACGTGGTACCAAACACAGTCATTCTACAATCTGCCCTGAGTCCCCTTGAGGAGATACGGTGGAATATAAACAATGTTGTTGTTATATTATTTACAGCTGCACATTTCAGTCCAACCACCTTTCAGCTTTTAACAGCATCTTTTAAATTTTCACTATTTAGCAGACCTTTAACTGGCGGCTGGAGTACAAATATCTTTTAACAAGGCATGCTTTTAATAGTGTTGGTGGACAAAAAAACAGACTGAAAGATAGGCTAAAAGCTAACCTAAAAAACATGTTACAACACAGAGAGAGAACCCTTGGACCTTGAGTGTCTGACTGGCGGCCAGCTGTGGTCAACAGTGCTGTGGATTTTGAAGGGACAGAAAGGGAGAAATGGGCAGAGAGGAAGAAGAGAGGAAGAAGGTGCCTCAAGCAAACCTTCCACCTGGAAATTTATTTATTTTAAATATTTATATTCCGCCCTTCTCACCCCAACTCAGGGGACTCAGGGCGGAGTACAGCATATATACGGCAAACATTCAGTGCTGGGACAAGAATTCATATGAGCATACATAAACATTAAAAGCATTTCTCAAAATATTAAAATACACCGTTTGAAAGCATCTTAGTCATCTGTGTCAAATCTAAATTGGCCTGGTAAAGTTTCCTATCGCTGCCTTATTGCCCTGTCCCGAAAGCTTGGTCCCACAGCCAAATGTATGTCCCCTTGTGAAAGAAAAACCTGCGCATCCAGAATAGGCCTCTAGAGTCATTTGCAGACATTAAACAAGTGTGTGGATCTATAGGTCTGGCCTCCAAAGAAGAAATACTAAGGAAAGCAGAGTGTGAAGAGAAAAGGTCTTTCCTGGATGCCTTTTGGCTCATATCTGTAACATCAGTTTACCCTTAACTGGGGGAGAATGGAGCAGTGAGGCAGTGGCGGAGACAGAACACAAAAGAGGTAAAGAGGCAGCACACGAATATCTGGCCAATCTAAACCATCGTAGAGTTGGAAGAAACCACAACAGCCTTGCAAACAGTACTTTACTCACAACTGCAAGGAACCGCCAAAAGGCTAAACGGAGGGTTGCACAAACACAAGGACTAAGTACCGAGAGCACAATAATTCCAAATAAACAGCTCGGGAAGGTCTCAGGGTCTTCACACTAATGCACAGAGCATGTGAAATACACAAGACGAACTCCCAAGTTTTAGGACAACACCACAATTACAATGTCATAGGCATCACTGAAACCTGGTGGGATGACTCCTGTCGCTGGAATGTAGACATCGAGGGCTATAACCTCTTTCACAGAAACCGAACAAAGGAGAGGTGGAGTAGCCTTATATGTCAAAAACTGTTACGTTGCAGTAGAGATGCAAGACCGCAATCCGGGAAACCAGCTTGAAAGAATTTGGATAAAAATCAAGAGAAATGGGACTCAAAAAGATCTCGTCATGTGCGCCTGCCTACTACAGACCACGGAACCAGGATGAAGAACTCGATGAAGCCTTCTGTCAACAGTTGACCAAACAGGCACAAAGAAGAGATGTTGCAGTCATGGGCGATTTCAACTATCCTGATATTTTGCTGTAAAACAAATTTGGCCAAGAGTACAAAACCCAACAAATTCCTCGCTTACCTTGCAGAAAATTTTATGGTCCATAAAAAAGAAGGGACAACAAGGCAATCAGCTACTCCCGATCTCATCCTAACAAATGCGGAGGACCCGATCAATGCTGTGAAAATGGTCGGATCCTTAGGGGCAAGTGACCATGTGGCTCCTACAGTTTGCAATACAAAGGAAGGCCGAAACTAAGACAAGTAAAACCCGCGTTCTGGATTTTAGGAGAGCTGACTTCCGAGAAATGAAGGGAATACTGAGTGACACTCCGTGGAAGCCGATACTAAAAACAAAAAGGCGGTTATGGATGGATGGGAGGTTTTCAAGAGTGAAATACACAAGGTGCAATTGCAAACAGTGCCAACAAAGAGAGAGAAAAATAGACAAGTGCAAAGAAGCCAGAATGGATGTCCAAAGAACTTCTAACTGGGCTAAGACTCGAGAGACATGCACAAGAAGTGGAAAAGGGAAGAAATCACCAAAGAAGAATTCAAACAAATAATCAACTCCTGAA